GGTCTACTCTTCCCCAAAGCCAAACCCCTCCTAGCTTTAGTGTTAGCTCCTGTGATCCATAGATCTTCTTTCTGTGGCAGCCCCGGAAGTTGGGCTCAAGGGCGAGAACCAGCAGCCCATGGCTGTTCATCTTCCTGCCACACACCCGTTGTGGATTTTACTGGAATGCCATGGCTTCAGATGGGCCAGGTGTGGGCCCAGGTCTCCCTCTGGTTTCTGGCCTCTTTGGGGCCAGCATCAGGACTCTTCCAGGGAGGGCTGCTGCTGGTCATCATAGTCCCTGAGGTGGTCACAGGCCTCACAACACGTGTCACTGGGGGCCCATTCTTCCTGGGCTGCTTGGCAGTGGAATGCAGCCCACCTGTCTCCTTCCCCACTTTGAGGAATTCATTCAAAGAACGTTTGCTCATGCCTGTTTTTTATTCTAGGCTTGTGCTGGGTGCTTGATTTGCATATGTGTGTGTGGCTAGGGAGGAACGTGTCCTAAATGAGACCTGTACCCCTTCCTTTGGGAGCAGATCACCTAACGGAAGGATCAGAGAGCTGCGGGGTCCCATCGGGTCAGTGGTTCCAGGGTACAAGGTGTGGCCTGGCTTGAAGGGGAGGAACATTAGTTTTGCCTCCAAGGGTTCAGGCAGGACATCATACAGGAGGTGTATGAGCAGAGTCTTAGAGGATGAGCAGGACTTGGCCAGGCAGAAAAATGAGGGAAAAGCATTCTAGGTAGAGGGAATAGCATATGTCAAGGCGAGGAAGTACAACGTTTAGAGTATGTGAAATCATAAATAACCCATCAGAAAGATTTGCAGGCGGTGAGGCAGGGACAGGAGGCAGACTCAGATCGAGAAAGGTGGTGCTGGGAAAGCTGAGGGACTTTGATCTCGTTCTTAGGGTGAGGGGTGAAGCAGTGTAAGTGGAGGAGCCCTGTTAGGTGGCTCCGAGGCTGATGGCGGGGAGAGGAAGACCCTGGAGGTGGTGGAATGGTTAAGGGGCCCAGGCTGTAATCGAGATGAAAAGTGTCAAGGGACAGAATTGAGAAAGGAGAGGCAAGAAGAGAGAATAGTAGTGGCTGAGTTTGGGTGCACATTTAGATGGGAGAACTGTCTAGCTGGAAATGGGGTGATCATAGATGGCTCCAGGTGGTGGCAGAGGCAGCTCTGCAGGAGACGGGGAGTGGGGTGGAGGGTGGTGGGGGGGGGCTGTTCCAGGATGGGGAGTCAGGAGAAGGGGAGCCGTTTGGATCTTGAGGGGGGAGATGGTACATTCCGCTTAGGATGGGCTGAGGTCAAGGTTTAACACGGAGGTGGCGCCCCCAGGTGGCTGCTGGAGCTCAGGGAGATTGGCTTGTGACCAAGCTGAGCACAATTGAAGACCCAGGCTGCCCTGGGCGGCAGTGGGGAGGATACAGAGCCAGAGGGAGAGGTCAGGGTGGGACTCAGGGAGGAGCCCAGAGCTATAGCCATGAGCCAGGGTGGCTGGGAACCCACAGGCAGAAGCAGGGGGAGAAGTGGAAGAGACATGGTGGAGGGGATGTGGGGGGTGGAGTGGGACGGGCTAGACAGCTCCATGAGGACAGGGATGACAGCGGTGTTGGGTCCCTGCTGAATCCTACACGTGGGCTGAGGTCCTACACGTGGAAGGTGCTCCCCCCACCTGGTGGGAGGGGATGGACGGATAGACGGATGGGAGGATGAAGGATGCTCCTCGCACCTCGGGGGCTTCTCCCCATGGCACAGAGCTGCTGATGGAGGACTTCTCCATCTCCCCGGGAAGGGCTGCCCCCCTCCCGCTGCCCCCAAGGCTTGCGCTCCCCTGTCAGTGGGGAGATGCCTGTCAAGGGTCTGAATAAGTCTAGACCTGCTCTAGATATGTTGTGATCACACACTCCCCTGCCCCCCATCCCCTCAGCCTGAGCTGCCGGGGCCGGAGGGGTCACCTGACCAGGCTGGCCAATCAGAGTCTGTCCTGGGACTCTCGCCTTTGGATCTTTTGAACGGAGATCCACGAACTGGAGTGGCCGTGTGGACACACGAGTGTGTGTGCCACGTGTGCTGGCACAGAGAGCACACGGGAGGGAAGACCAGAGTGTGCGAGGCTGGAAGCAGCTGCCCAGGCGGGGGCAGGTGAGGCAGTGCGGGCAGGAACGGGAGACACGGGCACCGGGTCTGGCCACGAACCCTGCCCGGGCCTAGGCTGCTCTGAGTAGGTTCTGGTTTCTCGCTGCCCAAAGGCCGGCCAGGTGCCTCCCCCTGGGCCCCGGGGATCCACTCGTCTGCCTTCCCGAGCAGAGCCCGAGGCCTCCTGCAACTAGACTCGGGGTCCTGGATGCCGGAGGCCTTTGCCCGCCCTCCCCTGGTGACCCAGCTCTAGCAGGGACTCCGCGGTGTGGATGGCAACACTGAAGCCAGGCCCGCGGTCTCTGCCTGTGCTCGGTGCCCCGCGGGCATCCTCGTCCCCTCTTCCCGGCCAAGCCGCGGAGGGAGGCAGGGTCCCCCTTCTGTGGGTGGTAGGTGACCAGCTGAAGGCCACACGGTCAGGCAGGGCAGAGCCAGAATCCGACTCCAGCTCCTCCAGCCCCACATGGAGTGTGCCGCGTGGGTGTCTCTGAATCCTCTGGGCTGCGTTTCCTTTCTTCCCAGTGAGGCCAGAGGTGGGGGTCCAGGGCTGGAGGCGCAGACACTTCCGGGGCTCTCACGGTCCTCGTGAGGGAAGGTGGCCCCTTTCGGAGTCTGGCATAAACAGGGCCCGAGGCAGAGACAGCTCCGACCGTGGAGTCTCGCCCAGACACGCAGAGGTCACTTCGGGAGGAGGTGGAGAGCTTTGATCCTGAAACCTGAACCGACGGGGCCTGCAAGGAACCCCGGGCCGTGTCCCGCGGCCCTTCGGTCCCCTCCCCGGTGTCGGCAGTGGCGTCTCTCAAGCAGGGGAGCAGTCAGGACAGGACTGAAGCCGCGGGGGCCGCGCGTCCTCCTGAGCAGCCCCCCGGCCCTGCACGCGGTACAGACAGGGCCCCGGGCCCTCCGCACCTCTGCATTCCTGGCGGGTGACCTGTTTCACGTGCTTTTGTGGCGTCTTCGCCTGCAAGGGGCATTCCGGAGGGCTCTTCCCAGAGAACGGCAGGGCTTGCTTTGCCCTCCTGAACTCCCGGGGCTCGTACCCAGGCCTCTCAACTCAGCGGGGTGCAGAGAAGCCTGCCAGGCCTTTCTAGAGGGCTGGGAGGCCCGGTGGTGGCCCTGTGCCCCCGTCCCCTCGGCCGGCCGCTCCAGCATCTGGGGTGATGCTGACCTCGCTCAGGAGGCGTCACAGTAGCAAGCCGGGAAAAGGTTAAAACAAACATTTATTTAACAAATTATATTAAGACAGACAATCACACAGTGAAACTTCCCTTTGCCAAATACAGGAGTCACCTCAAATAAATACAGTAAGGGCGTCGTTCCTCTGCGGGTACACAGCAGCCTGTCCCAGGCCCCGTGCGGTCCCAGGGCAGCTCCCGGGCCTTCTGCTGGGGGGACGGAAGCCCTGCTGCGGGGGGTGACAGCCAGTCCCGGGCCGCATTCGGAACGGGTGAAGACAGAGGGGCCGACCCAGGGGTGCCGGGCTGGGGGGTGGGCACGCGGCGGCCGCCTCCAGGCCCCGAGGCCCCGGTGGATTGTGGCCTGAGTCAAATGAGCTCGGCTTCTGCCCCCCGAGCAGGCACATGGTTGCCGCGTCAAGGCCCTGCTTGGCCCTCAGGCTCCCCGGGGGTCCGGGGGCCCTCGTCGTCAGGGTGGAGCGACCAGGCAGGCTGAGCACCATGGCACCCTGGAGGGGCGGCCAATCATGCTAGAACCAGGGAGGCTGGTGGTGCTGGGAAGTCTCCACGGGGCAGGAGACGGAAGGGTCAGAGAGAGGCATGTGCTTGGGACGGGCCCCCTGGCGGGGTGGCTCCGAGGTGAGACTCGGCTCCGGATCCCATCTCTGCCACTGACCCCTTGTGCTCACAGACGAGCCTCCGCTGCTTCCTTTGTAACAAGGAGTGACGAACATCCGCTTCTGGGGGTGTGTTTTTTAGGGGGAATAACAGGAGAAAATGTGCTTACAGTGCCGGCCCAGTGGCTGGCGAGGAGCAGGGGTTCTGGTGCGGCTGAGTCCTTGCTGGCCCTGTTCCCACCGCCTTTCCGCAGGACACGGGGCCGGGGAGGCAACTGTCGGGGTCTTCCTGCCGCCAGCTGGACCCCAGTCAGGACTCCCAGCGAGGGAGGCGCCAGCAGCTGCCCTCCTCGGACTGGGGAGACAGGTGTGGGGGCTGTAACCTGTTTCCTCCGCCACCCACCCGGCTGTCCGGCTCTCCAAGTGGGAGAGGTTGTGGCCCAGATTAGTTCCTGGACTCGGGGTGGGGAGAAGAGCCTTGATACGACTTTGACTTTGCGAGTGAACGTGGAGCCAACAACTTACTCCTTACTACCTTTGTGCCATATCCAAGGGCGCTGGAGGGAGACTGTGCATGTTCGGGGGAAAAGGAAAAACAGGAAAACTGCTCTGGCTAGTCTTTTTGAGGAGTGCTGGGGGGGGGTGGGGGGACGAGGGCCAGGCCGCTGCCCTTCATGCTTCCGAGAACCCTCATCCTCCCCTCCCCACGTGGCCCCAGGGTTGGTGAAGAAACGCTCCCTCCCAGGCACGAGCCAGGGGTCCGGCTGTCCTGCGGTCCTCATGAGCCCCCACGCGCACCCCCAGCCTACCGTCACGTGCTCGCTCGCCCCCCACCTCTCAGAAGGCAAGGAAAGGGGGCTAGGAGCAGCCTACAGTCTACCACTGACACCAGCCTTTCCCTACCTCGGTCATTGCATTACTTGTTTAAGCTGTGGTTCAGGGGTACAAACAGTCCCTGTCACACGTAGCTTCCGTCTATGGTGCTGTCAAAGTGGCCGCAGCCCGGCCTTGCCCTCCGTCGGTCCCCTGGCTACAGGACAGCCCCAGGGGCTCGGGAGGGCAAGCACCCGCCTCCTCCTGGACAGCCCCCCCCCCCCCCCCAGCCCGGCTCTGCCCTCATGCACCTGGACTCCAGCTTCCACATGCTTGTCTCTGGAACTCTCCGCTAAAATGCCTGCTTGTCAGGTAAGGGACAGGGGCCGCCAGGTGCTACCTGTCGGATGACAACCTCACAATTAGGCCATGAGCAAAGTGCACGAACCAAGGGAAGAGGAGTAATGGGAGTCGCCCCTCTCTGTTGGGCTTCGGGTCACATGGGTCACTTGGTTTTGGACGAGCCGCCCAAAACGCAGCAGTAGACACGGGCTTCCAGCTCCCCAGAAACACGACCGGCTTATCTCGGTGGGTGCATCTGAGACCAGTTCAACAGCTCTGTCCTCTCCTGGTTAAGCACCAGTCCCAGAAGGCCGTCAGACGGACTGCTGGCTCCAGCCCGTGGCCCCTGGGGGTTCCACCCACTCTGCTGTGGGGGCCCAGGAAGGCCGGCCTCACCGGGGACATCCTCAGGTCCGGGCAGAGGCAGGCAGAGGCGAGCACTTCTCTAATGCACAGAGATCAGGAGGTTTTGGATGAAAATCAATGGGCGACCCGGGGGCGCGTGGAGCTGCTCGAGGTGGCGGCCCTGATGAAGGTACATGAGGTATTTTGGCCTGCCCCACTGCTTAGCCGGCGGCCACCCTCCTCACGGTGTTGGCCCGTTCTGAGACGTCCCAGGCGCCCTGGGGAGGCAGGCTCCGTCCCTGGCCGTGGCTCTCCCGTGCTCTCTTCGTGTTGGGGGACCCTCCCCATTCTCCATGCCCCCTCCCCAGCCTCCAGACACATGGCAAGCCTCACGTCCAAAGCTCCAGCCATCAGGGACCCCCCCCACCCCCAGAGGGGAGATACCAACATTCTGTGGAATTGATTCAGGACAAATCCTGAGAGCTAGACCAGGCCACCGGGGGGAGGGTCTGAGCCCCCAGGGACGGGGACGGCCCTGTTCTCACGGCAAACACAGGTGGAGCTGAGCTCGGCGGCCGGCGTGGTGAGAAGAGCCTGCGAGTCTGCTGGCCAGTTGTGGTAGACGTGTCTACACTGGTCCCAGCTCGGTGGCCTGGCTCAGACGGACTTTCTAAAACAAACGCTGCTGTTTGCGGAGTGCGTCGTGATGCCGCCTGGCTCTGAGGACCAGGCTGACAGTGTCCCCGTGTGCCTCTGGGGCAGGCCACTGGCAGAGGGTCTCCTCACTTGTGGTGGGCCTGTCCCTGGGGCAGGGCATGGGGCCGAGGCAGCTGGCGTGGCAGTTGGCACATGGGCGTTGCAGAGATGAGCCCTTTGGGAGGAATGGGGGGGGTGGCGGGGGAGCACAGTGTCCTGGGCAGCGACTGCCCTTCGAGCAAGCACCAGGTCCCTCCGCCTTCTCACCCTGAAGGCAAGTCATCTGTGTGGGCCACCGGGCATCCTCTCCCCGAACTTGGTGTGTCCAGTGTGTGACTTGGGGGTGGAGTCTGAGGTGTGGCTGCCAGTGGGCAGGAACCCGGGCTCGGGGTCACTCGGGGACCACAGGCTTCTTCCTCCCGTGTCCGCGTCGCCGTGAGATGCTCAGGGCGCTGCCGCTGGCGTGAGGGACTTGTTCCACGGCAGCCCCGAGTCTGGGACCCTCGGGGAGGCCTAGGGGGTTGTGCACAGTTACCACCCACATTGGGCCTTCCAGAAGGATACGGATAGCTGTGGCAGGCAAGTCAGGAGGAAAGGGAGCCGGCGGCGTCACTGGGCAGCTCCAGCACGCGTGCGGGGCCCTCGGGGTGACTCCCGGGGTGGGTAGGGTCATTTGTAGGAGGGCCGGTCGTCACACAGACACGTTAAGAGCCGTTGGTCACTACAGCAAACACAGATTAGTGGCAATTATGAACAGTGTCCCCAGGGAGGCGGGGGTGTCCCGTCAGGCAAGCCGCGGGCCAAGGAGGTCAGAGCCCAGCTGCCCAGAGTCTCCTGGATGAGCCCCACGGTGGGCCGGTAGGGAAGGGTAGGCAGGAAGGCCTGGGCGAGGGAGGGGCGCTCAGTAGTCTGGGCAGCTGCGTCTTCTCCCCATAGGGACAGGGTGGTGGCCGGCCCCTCAGGACTGGGGGATCTGTTGACACCGGGTGGGGCTGGGCGGGAGCCGGGCGGCCGCGCTCTGCTCCGTGCGGAAGCTGTATTCATACTGGAGGAGGGAGAGGACAGAGAAGCAGGGTCAGTGCAAGAGAAGAGCAGAGCAGCCCCTCCTCAGCCCCGGGCCCAGCCCGCGGGACCCTGGGCCACCTTGCCCAGCGTGTGCCCTCGGTGCAGTGTGTGGTATGGGGGCGTGTGTGGGGACACAACTCTGTGGCTGTAGGTGGCCCCCAGTTCCCGATGACAGATTCCATTCCCAGTCCCTGCTCTGCTCTCCGCAAGGAGGGACTGTGGGGCCTGAAGCCACGAGCTGGCCGTGGGCCGGGCTGCCTGCCAGGAGAGGGGTCGCAGGCGGGGTAAAGGACCGCTCTGGAACGCCATCCCCCACCTGACCTGAGGCCAGCCACAGCCACCAGGCCCGGGGGACCCTTGTCCCAGTGCTTCCTTGCTCGCCCGCTGACAGGCTAGGTGACCCCGGGGAGGGGCAGGCAGCACCCCACACGTGTGTGTACTCTCCTGAGTTCCCAGCGCTGGTCCCTGAAGGTTGTGTGACTGTCCCCCGCACCTGACGAGGGCCCGAGTCTCCAGGAGGGCAGCACCCCACAGTGGCCACCCAGCCTGGGCCAGAATGGTCCCTGGAGGGGCACACCTGTCCCCTGCCCCACCTCATGCCGAAGACCGAAGCTTACCTGGCTCTCGGTCACGGACACGTGTAAAGGAAGGTTCCAAGTGTGATGGAAATTCAGAGGTACTTGCAGAGGGAACGGGGGAAGGCCTGTAGCTCACCCGGAGGGCCAGGAGGGATGGCACCTTCCAAATGTGAGGCTGGTGGGCCAGGCCGCAGAGCAGGCCCGGGGTGGGGTGGGGGGCGCGGGGTGGGGGGGGGGGGGCTGCAGCAGAGCTGCGGGCCGGGCCCAGCACACTATAGGCCACAGCAGCCGCGTGGCCCCATGGCTTTAGGACTGAGGAGTTTAGAGGATGTCAGGCGGGTTCAACATTTTGAATCCCATCTCAAGACTCTTTAGCAGTAGATTTGCCCTAACAAGGGCTCCTCCCTATACGCAGAGCAAAGCGGGGCTGCCTGGGCTGAAACAGCTGTTGCCTCAGGGACACTGAGGGCAGGATGAGAGGAAGCCCCAGGCGAGCTGCCGCAGCAGGAGAACAGCTCAGTGCTCAGGGCTTCAGCAGTTGGTCAAGGATGAGGGGCAGCCGCAGACCTTTGAAGGTTTTTCCCCTCAAGTAGAAATGGTGAGGAGGCACCCAGTGCACTGTGTCCTCGGCCGCCCCTGCTGGAGGGGCCCACAGGGTTGACCCTACACAGGGAGAAGCAGACCTGGGCTCAGCCCATCCCGTCCCTGTACAAACCATAGGAGGGAACAGCGTCAGGTGGCCCCTGAGCCCAGATCAAAGGGCCCTGCAACGCGGATAGGACGGGGGACCCTATAGACATTGTCCATCACCAGAAGGGGCGGGTGGGAAGGACTTGACTTTGGAGGGCGACCTCAGGCAGGTCTTTGCCCATCTCTGAACTGGGCCAGGGTAAGAACTGACAAGTGTTAGCGAGGACGTGGAGAAAAGGGAACCCTTGGGCCCTACTGGGAACGCAAATGGGCGCAGCCGCCATGAAACATGGTGTGGGGGAGACTCACAAAATTGGAACTAGGACTCCCCTAGGACTCAGCAATTCCTCTTCTGGGAATTTATCCAAAGAAAACAAAAAACACTAACTCAGACTCCTGCACCCCCACATTCACTGCAGCATTCTCTCTAAGAGCCAAGACACGGGAACACCCTAGGTGTCCCATGACGGGTGAAGGGATAAAGAAGATGTGGCGTAGAGACATGATGGGCTCTTACCCAGCCATAAAAAGTGAAATCTTTCCATTTGCAAAGCACGGATGGACCTCAAAGGCATCACCTGAGGTACAGTGAGTCTGAGAAAGACAAAGACCATGGAACCCCACTTATATGCGGAATCTAACCAGCCAGGGGCTTGCCCGGGGAGGGGGTCTGGATGGGCGAAGGGGGTCGAAAGGTACAGATTCCAGCTATAAAACTTGTCCTAGGGGTGTCATGGACGGCAGGGCGATGACCATTAATACTGCATTCCATTTCGGAAGTTGCTAAGAGCCAATCTTTTGTAATCATGGTGACAGGTGTTGACTAGATGTGCTATGATCATTCTGCATATATACAAATATGGACTCATTATGTTGTGCACCTGACACTAATGTCCTATGTCAATTATACCCCAATAAAAAAGTGGGGTCACAGTCTATCTCCAGGGCTGGCTGTGGGAATGGGGTGAGCTGTGCAGGTTAAGGGCTCATGCGCCACGGTCACCAGGCAAGCACTTGCTGCACATTTGCTGGCTTGGGAAAATCTATCAGAGCAGCTCCCAACCTGCTCCCTTTCCTGCTCCCTGATGACCAGGGCATGGGCCCTGGCTGGACTCCAGCTCTAGGAAGCTGGCCCAGTGGAGCAGCCCCAGAGGCGGCCCCGGGGCAACGTCTGAGACAATACCGCCACCTGGTGGCTGCTCGGGTGCATCATGGCAGGAAAGGTTCCCTGGGCTCCAACAGCGCCCACCCCGTTCTTCACCCCTGGCTGGGCTCCCTGGGGTCAGGCGAGAGCCCCATGAGGGCAGCAGAGCAGGGGCAGGCCAGCACCATTAACTCCAATGGGCAACACAGGAGGAAGGGGCGGTTGGGGGAGAGCATGAGTGCATTTCTACCCGGGGCTCAGGGGCAGCTGCCTGGCTGGGGAGCTAGGGACCCAGGGATCAAAGGTTGGGAATGGCAAGCACTGCCGGAGGAGGGGGGTTCGGGGGCGGAGGGTATCTGGAGTGCCAATGGAGAGAGGTTTCGGGAGAAGCACACAGGCTCAGAGGGTGAGGATCGGCCTCGTACTTGGGGTGGAGGACCTGGAGGGGAGGGCCAGGGAGGAGAGCAGAAGAAGGACACGGGCTGGGGATAGTGGCTTCTGTGGGAGCAGTTCTGGGTGGGCGAAGGTTGGAGAGCTGTCAGTGTGGCGGGTGCGGTTGCCCCTCAGGGGTGGGGAGGGGGGCACCCAGGGAAAGAGCTGAAGCAGGCTGATCCCACTTTACTGCACAGAAGTCCCTGGAAGTCTTGGTAAAAGGCAGATTCTGACTCAGAAGGTCTGGGGTACAGCCCAAGATTCTGTGTTTTCAACCAACTTCCAGGTGATCTGGGGACCAGTTCAGACAATTCTGTCCTGTGACCCAACCAAGGGGACGAAGGGGCAGATGTGGGTGGGAGTGGGCAGAAAGCAGAGGGCTAGAGACATTAGGGCTGGGCTGTGGGGGGCTGTGGAGGGAGGGAGGCTGGGGGTGCTTTACTCCGGCTGCGCGGAGGCCAAGCCCGGGAGATGCCTGCCTGGGGCAGCAGACAGAAGGCACCTCTCGGAAGCAGCCAGAAGTCCCAAGTGCACACGCTGCCTTTTCCGGATTCACAGCCTGCGCACGCCCCTCCCCCCTCCCGAGGGCCGGGACTTGGTGCCCTGCACAGATTGCTGTCCCCCCACTCCTACCCTTGGGAGCTTTTCCCTTTTTAGGTTATCTTGGCTGGAGAAAAGCATTATTCCCCTCCCACCCCCACCTCTTGTTTTCTCTAACTCCCCAAATGAAATTTCAACATATGTCCCCAGACATAATCCCCCTTAGGCTGCGGATAACCCTTCCCACAGACACTGTCTTCTGCCCGGGATTGCTGGCCCCAAAGTGTTTGCCCAAGAGACTAGGGCCGCTTCTGGAAGGCCTTTCACTCCCTTGGGCAAACAGTGAGTACCTTTGAAGGTGGATTTGGGCCCGGATCTGTTTACTCAAGACATTAGTCTCCTGCATAAGGAAAACCTGCACTCGCGTACAAACAGCAAATCCTTTTTGAATTAAAAAAATTTTCAATTAAAAAGCATTTGGGTTCACAGAGCCAAGCCCAGCTGAGCGGCGCCAGGCCGTGGCACCCTCTGGTGGACGCCAGCCGTCCCAGCAGCCAGGCCGGGCGGTGTCTCCAGGAAAGAGACGTCACTGTCAGGGGCTGTTTCGAGCTTTGCTGGGGCCCAGGGGCCGCAGTGTCCCTCCGCCTCCGCCTGGGAGACCCTGCACCTGATGCATCGTGCCTCTCTGGCTGCGGGCATGAGGCCCAGCGAGGCCATCGTCCTGGTCTGTGGGACATGTGGACCCTGGCTTTCAGCTGGGTGGTGGAGGCTGTCCCTTAGACCCAGCCTCACTGGCACAAAGGGGGCCAGCAAACCCTTGTCCACTCACAAAGGCGTGAGACTCACCCGAGACACTTCGCCTGAAAAGCCCAGTCCTCCTGCTGCATCAGAATCAAGGTTTCTCACCAAGCCACTGGTGCCTGGGCCCCATCCGGCGTGGGGTGGTTCTGGTTCACCTGGCGTGGCGGGCGGCATCTTCCCAAACACCCAGGACACCTGACAGATTAGGCAAGTGAGAACCTGCCTGGAAACTACCAAATAAGTTCAGACGGTCCCCGAGTTATGATGTTTGGACTTGACGACACAGCGAGAGCAACAAACGTTCAGTAGAAACCAGACCTTGGATTTTGAGTTGGACCCTGTCTTGTGCTGCTCAGCAGCCGCAGTCCCCGGGCAGCCACGCGACCACAAAGGTCCATGACGGACACGCTGACGGCCGGGCTGTCCCCATACGACCGTCCTGATTTTCGCCTTCAGCACAGTATTCAGTAAAGTACACGACGCGGCCAACACTTCATTATAAAACAGGCTGGACGCGCCGCCCAGCTGCGGGCTCCTGGTCGGGTTCTGGGAGTTGAGGGCAGCCAGGCTAAGCGGTGCTGGTCGGTAAGTTAGGGGTAATAAGTGCATTTTCAGTTTACAGTGCTTTCAACTCACGACGGATTTACTGAGCGGGGGCGGTCACGCCACTGTAAGCTGAGGAAGATCTGCAGAGGGCAGAAAGGGCGAGCAGACACCTTCCCTTCCTGGGCGACAAGCAAACCAGAGACTCATATCAGAGGAGAAAGGACAAGAAGGGATTATTTCCAGCACCTG